TAAAAGAAAATGAACCTATAACTTACAGAATTACCACCAGGAAAACATGCAGTAGGCAGCAAATGGGTGTTTAAGACAAAATATGATGAAACTGGTAAAAATATAAAATACAAAGCACGCTTAGTAGCCAAAGGATTTACTCAAAAATACGGCAGTGATTATGATGATTTCACCAGTAGTGAAACACACTACGATAAGAGTTTTCTTAGCATGGGCAGCGTATAATAATGCCAAGGTACATCAACTAGATGTTAAAACAGCTTTTTTGTACGGCAACTTAAATGAAGAAATATATATGGAACAACCAGAAGGATTCGTGGTTCCGGAAGAAAGACATAAAGTTTGTAAATTACAGAAGTCGATTTATGGTCTCAAACAAGCAGCTAGGTGCTGGAATGCAGAAATTGAAAATACATTGAAGAATCTGGAAGATTCTGGGGTTGGTTCAGTCAAAGCAAGCAGATCCGTGTCTTTTCACAAAAGTGGTTCGTGATAAAAGAATTAATTTAATAGTGTATGTTGATGACATCCTAATAAGTTCTACAGAAGAAGGACTAATTCTTCAAACAATTAATGATTTAAAGAAACGTTACCAAATAACGCATCTTGGTGAAGCTAAATATTTCTTAGGCATGGAAATAAATCGCAAGGAAGATGGAAGTTATCTCTTATCACAGAAAAATAAAATAAATCAACTTGTCAAGCAATTTCAACTTGAAGAAGCGAAACCCGCTAGCACACCAATGGAAACAAACTATTATAACCTAAACAAGGAAGAAAATCTCCTAACTTCAAATGATAAATTTCGCCAAGCTATTGGAAGTCTTTTGTATATATCGTCTATCACAAGACCAGATATCACAGCTTCAACTCACATACTCAGCAGAAGGTGTAATAATCCACGTCAAAAGGACTGGAATGCTGTTAAAAAGAATCATTAGATACTTAAACACGACAAAGAATCTATCCTTACAAATTTCGTTGAGTGAAGAACCTAATATTACAGTTTATTCATTCAGATGCTGATTGGGGCAAGATATTGAAGATAGAAAATCTACATCAGGAAGTGTTATTTTATTAGGAAAAAAACTTTATTTCATGGTTTTCAAGAAAACAAACTTGTGTTTCTTTATCCTCAGCAGAAGCTGAATATGTTGCACTATTGCAAGCTATGCAAGAACTATTATGGCTATTAAAATTAACAGAAGATTTCAATCTACCCCAAACTCTACCGATAAAGGTATTTGAAGATAATAAGTCTACTTATTATCTTCAAATACCTTTATCGGTATTTAACTTGTAGAATTGACTTGTAGAATCTGAAAAATTCAGTTCGCGCACAAAACATATTGATACAAAAGTTCATCATATACGCGACTTGAATAACAAAGGAATAGTAAAACTTGCTTATCTTTCAACAGAGCAAATGGTTGCTGATATTATGACTAAACCAATTCCTAAAGCTAAATTTCAGTTTTGCAGGAATGAATTGCAATTGGTATGAGTTTCATTAGCAAAACAGGGGCAATGTTAGCATAAATTTAGGTATTTGCATAATGAAACTCGAAAGGCATACGAAACGAACGTGCGCCAAGATATATATTGGCGAGAGAAAGTAAAGTTCGTGTGCAATGCAGTATATTTGATTTTCACCCTAGCTACTTGTACTCTGGCCAAAGGTCTAATCCAGTAGTACTTTCTTCTCTTTCAGGTACGATGGCAAAGTATGTTTTTCTCCTTTTTATTGCTAATATAGGTAAGCCTGGTGATTTAGGATTGAGGATGATTCTATGTAAGTTATCTCCTTTTCAATACTTCAGTGTTTTAATGTCCGTGAAGATTATTACTTTATTGTTATGCTTAAGTTAAGCAGAATTATCCTATTTTATTAAATAAAGATTTCGTAGTTAAAAATTTTTGACTTATGATTCTTTAATTCTGTGCTTGAGGAAACGTACTCATTATGCCTTCAGTGCTAATGCACAACCAACACTCTCTTCTGGGAAAAGATGCCAAAGCAAACTTATACCACAGCAAAGGAGAAGGTATTGTTGACTCATAAGCTAACGAAAGTTCGTTTCATGTTTTATTGAACTGCAAGCAGCGATTTGAAAATTAAACTGCTGCTCGTTTACCATTCGGACAATCCATAAGCCCTCAAGAAGTATAAAATCCATGTGAAGGTCCAACAACAATGTTTGGGTGACACATTTTTACAGATTAGATCAATGAAGTGTTTGGCCTGTCTGTAAAAAGATATTTGATTGAGATGAATTTGCTACTCTCTGCCTTGCTTGTTATGGAGAATGTACCTGCACAACCTCTAAGCCTAGAAGATGACTTCCATGAAGAATTTAAACGCATCATGTTCCTGCTTTCCAACATTACTCCTTTATTGCAGGTCACAGATTTTCAGGTCGTTTCAAATTGAAAAAAACTCTAAAAGGTTCTTTGAGCATAATTCTGAGGTTACTGAAGAAACCAATCTTTTTCTCAAAGCATTTTTGAAAGGACCTTTTTTACATCATTACCTGCCTCATGATGATCAATAAGGCAGAACCATTATTTCTGTATGGAAGCTTTGGCCAGAAAGCATTGTTGAATGTGACTCCGGGGGTTTGAACAAGTGCCTGTGGAGCGACAAGGCTAGAGGTGGTTAGCAATGACACTGATGAGCTGATGGGCAAGTACAACCAACAAGTACAACTGACGAGTTTATGAAGTTGCATTCTGTGTCACAGAAAGAAGTTGGGGTGATTTCATCAGGGAAGGAAAAGGTAAGTACATCATCAAAGCAGCATCTTTCTAGTAAAATAAGAGAGATACTGAATGCATGGTAAACTGTTGTATGGTACGTTTAGAAGCATCACCCTAATAAGGCATTAGTAACGTGAAATTCAATTGATTTAACAATAACATTGTGTATCCTGTTTGCCAAATTTTGAAGCATAGGCAAAAACAAATGTCTTTAGACAACTTTCTTGTAAAATGTATGTACTAAAAATAATTAACTACATTATTATAAATATGTTTGAATATCCCCCTTCCAGAATGGAACTCATTACCCATTTTACATTGATTGCTGTTGAAAAATAGCAATTTGTAGGAAAAACAATACTGGATTAAATTTGTATCTTTATAAATCCTGTTATACACCCCTGTTATAAATCTTTCTCCACATAAAGACATACATTTCTGTCTTATTCGAAAATTATATTATGTGTATTGCACAAATAAATGTTATCATCTGAAGTACAGTAAACCTTTGCCTAATGCAAGGCTGCATCATTAATACATCGTGCATGTTACAAAATTGCATTCTGCAAAGTTAACTTTCTATGGAAAATATGTGTTATGAACAATTCAGATTAAAAAAGTATGTATAGTTTAAACTAATCTAAATATTGTTCAAAGCTTATTAGGTATGCAATGCAATTTCTTTTTTAAAGCTTGAGATTTTTGCTTGGGAACAATGACAGATGCAACTCTAAAACTTTCAGGGTAAAAAGTGCAGAGTATTACAATGTCTCTCATAAGTATCCTCTTGTTACTCTGGTTTAAACTCCATTGTAAAATCAGGCATGTTCAAGTTCCTTTTTTAACAGTTCATTTAAAGGTACTTTACTCTGCATTATCACTGTCAGCTGGTGTAATAAAATGATCTAATTCTTTGATTTTTTCTTTTCTCATATCTGAAACTCCTTCATTACCATTTGCTTTTGCAGTTTATATGATTTCTTTGGTTTCATTTTCAGTCAATGGAAATCACTTGAAATTGGCCTTTTTGGCCAGAACTGATGCCAGCAAATATTCAGAGTTATGAATGAATGCTGAACTGCATGTAAATAAAATTATGGAAGCAATTAAGATACTGCGTATAAGCAAAACTGCATTCTGCAAATCCCTACTCTGCAAGGATTTACTGCATTAAACACATTATAATACACTGTAAAAATTAAATAGTGCTTCTAAAAATTTCAGTTATAATAAAACTCCAATTATTTAAGTTATCAAATCTTATTTTTAGGCCAAGTAAAAAAAGCTTTTAGTTATGGTTCTTTTTTGTTTTTGTTTTTGTGTGTGTGTGCCAGTTTTGAAGGATTTCCCCCTGTTTTAATTATAAATTTAATACCAACTGAAAATTTAATACAAACTAAACATGCTTAGTAATAAAAAAAATTTAAAATTTAATGAATTATTTATTTAATATATAAATAACATTGAATATGCCCTATTGTTTTATTATTTTACATCAATAGAAATAATTTATAGGTGTAATTTTATTTCAATAGGAATAGGTTATAATTTTGTTTTATGCAGATTAAAAACTATTTCACAGTTTAATTTACTATAATAACATTCAATCTAAATTACATATTTAGTTTTCAGAGTGTATATAAACAAATATTAATTTCATTAATTTACTTGAAGTAAAATTAGGTTGGACATTTAGGTTAATAAAAACAATTTCACTACTTAATTCCACTATGTATTTTGTTTCACAGAAATACCATTATTTTAATTATGTGTTTTTTACTGAAAGAAAAATTGCAAATAATAATAAAAATTCCTTCTTGTCCATTACAGTAAATATGAGTTTGACTCATATAAAAAAATACAACCTAATCATGCAAATATTTATAGTTTTACTATATTCTAAATGTATGAAATGACAAAAAAATTACTCCTTAAAAGAAAGAGAAAATATATATTTTTTTATTTTAAAATACTGCAATGAATGATTAGCAAAAGAACACACAAATTAAATATACATTAAAGAACTACACACACACAAAAGTACTGATAAAAAATACTTTTTTCTATTCTTAAAATACAATTAAATCTATCCTTAAATATAAATTAAAGCATTTACTAACCATTTTTTGGATAAAAATACAGGTAAATTTAATAAAATTTCATTTACATACCTGGTTCATAACACATGAATATTACATCACACCAAAATTTGTTTGGGGTCATATATACAATAAGTCAACTTACAAGGTATACATTGCAAACACAGATCTGTAGATAAGATATACAATGAGAACATAAGCTCATATTCCCAGTTCTTTGCGAAATATTTCAAGCTCTGTTGCTGTTTTAGCATCATTCTTTTTCGCATTAGCACTGATGTTTGTTATATACTTCATAATAACAGGATCACTCATTCTTTCCTTTAATAGAGTTTTGAATTCCATTAGTTTTGTATAACACTTGTCATTTAGTGTTAGAATGCTCAAGCAAAATGTCAGTTCATGAAGTTGAACCTCCGTACTGAAATAGAAAATCAAGAATTTAACATTAAAATTACTGAGAAAGGTTTACAAATTTCAAGACAGACAAAAAAAAAAAAAAAAAAAAAAAAAAAAAAAAAAGAAGAAGAAGAAGAAGAATGCAATAAAACATAATTTACTTTAACTTTCATTATACCACAAAAAACATAAACAATAGATGATAATTTCAGATTATCTGCATCCCCACCGAAAAGTTGCAAAACGTATTGATGAGACTAGGCATCATATCACCAAACAGTGTTTATGTGGCGACTCAATTATGTGTAGTACACACATATTCACACTAGGAATTTGATGGCTATTTGTTGATTTAGTATTTTTTTTTTTTTTTTTTTTTGCAATGAGTACAATGCGGGGGGGGGGGGGAGTTCTATAACTCCTGTTCTACTGAGCCGATCGACAAAATTCAACTTGTGTTTTCCATTTCTCGAAAGTGCGACTTAGGATATGTATTAGATTTATATATAGCATTGTTCTAATATAGGTATTTTGACACAAAATCGGTCTTTTTCTGAAACAACATACCAATCTTTTTCCATATTTTGATTTTACGACTCATATTACGCCAAACTACCAAGTTTTGTAAAAATCGCACGAGTAGTTTTTAAATAATTAGCTCCTCAATGTTAATTGAGTTTGGTATATATTTATTAATCTGTCCTTTTTTATTAATCTTATTTGATTCTTCCTTTCACATTTCGAAATTTAGGTTTATTCCAAATAAAATTCACCCATTTTTTATGATTTATTTAAAAAATTTTTAATTATAATCTATAAAATTTTTACAGTCATCTTATAGTAGATGCATTTCTAAGCATACCTGCAAAAAATTACAGTCTTTTTATTCAAAATTTTTGAAGATATATGTGAATTTATATATTAGAGCATTTTGAAATTTGGCATATTTGTTGAAAGCGTTAAAATGTCAAATGTTGTTTAGGCACTTTGCTAAAATTATTTGGAAGAAGAAATGATGTGACTATCTTTCAGCTCATACACAATGGGCAAAAAGATAGGAATGAGGTGCCCTTTTTTCCACTACTGCATAATGGAAGGGAAAGGAAAATTAGGTCGCCACATATTAAGAAGTTCGCCAAGTGGCAAAAAAGGCCATTTTTGGCAAAAACTGAAAAAAATTAAGCCAAGATAAATTTTTTAATTTCTCCGTAAATTTCACAAAATTTAATATCTACGCATAATTTCAGTCGTAGAATCGAAATATGGGGAAAAATGGTATGTTAGAACAATACTATATTTATATATCCTAAGTCGCGCTTTTGAGACATGAAAAACGCAATTTGAATTTTGTCAATTGGCCTAGTAGAATGGAAGATAAAGAACTGCCCCCCCCCACTTTTTTCCCCCACAGTGTACATTTGTTTTGGTAATAATGAATTGTAATGAGACCATGGAGTTTGCCACTGACAAAAAAGAAACCATTGAATTTCTTCTAGAGAATGAAGTCATACTTCTTACACAACCGGAAATGTAAAATGAAAAATCGCAAGCAAAGTATTAGAATGTGAATCAAAAACTATTTTAAAGATAGCCATATCTCATTTACAGCAGTTGTTCATTTCATTTATGGCTAAACAAAAGACTATATGTCAGTGAAATTCAGTAAAGGAGAATTGGGATTATCTTTAAACACAAATATTGGTCAGTATACAGTCAAAAGTCTTTAATCCGGACACGTCAGGACTTCGGCGATTTCGGATTATAGATCATCAGTTTAAATCTGGTAAGATGGCATGCAGAAATTATAAAATTAAAAATATGAAACCGTAATTTATGAAATAAAGAGCAATTATGATCTAAAGAGTATTAAAATTTATATATATATATATATATATATAAAGCTTAGTATTTTTTTGTTTACTTTATTAAACATTTCTTTCAATGCGCGCATGTGTAAAGCATACATTATGCATAGTCGAAATTAGAAAATTGCAACCAGAAAACTATTTGATGTGTATTCATATTTATAATGATGAGGAATTTGATTTAAATCATATCAAAGACAGAGTACATCGAGGTGAAATACTACATTTAGTAAGGAATTATAAGCCAAATGAAATAAAAACATCTGCCCTGAAGATAAGGATAGTGCTGACAGATCAACTTCCAGTTCATTGCGTGACGACCCCCCCCCCCCCCGCAGAGCAGCGTGAAATTGATAAACAGATTTTGGAATGGTTAGAGAAACAAAGGATATGCCTTTATTCATATTTTGCAGCGATTCCACTTTTTGTTTGATGGGCATCGAAACATGCTTTCGCTTTGTAGATCATTTGGCAGCTCCAGAATCAAAAATTCTTTTTGATGTAATCGAAAGTTCAAGCTTACTTTTATAAAATTGTTTTAACAGTCTGCGAAAATTAATAAGCCTGATCCAATTAGAAGATTAAGGAACAATGCAATCTGCAACATTAACTGAAATATATAATTAGGTAATTTTAGCTTAGCTTATACCGCCCGTTATACATTAAACGCGCATGCGTAAATGTATTATGTGCATGTGTAAAGGTTTTATGCGCATGCATCAATGCACTATGCGTTTGTAGTTTGAGGTCCAGATTATGGACGTCTGGATTAAAGACTTTTGACTGTATTGACTTCTGAGAAGCATGTGTTTATTCTACGGAAAAAGAAGAATGTAAAAATGTAGGTACAAAGAGCTGCATCACAGAAGGGGATGTAAGGATATCCAAACAAATATTTCTCTCCCCAAATCACAAAAGAAAGTTCAAAATCATCTCCAAATTCATGACTTTTCAAAGTAGGTATAGATAATCAGAAAGTAACAAATTGTTTTCATACATATAATTTATATTAAATTCTGAAAAGCTTAATATTAATGAAATCAGTAATAAATTCATAGCTGTACTGATATTTAGTATTTGAATTTCTATATGTGCATTTCTTACTTTGTTACAGATGGAAGAAAAGTCACTTAAACAAATTTAATCTTAATTTCAAAAACAATGTTAATGCAATATTATTATTTTCAATGCAATATATTTAAGAAAACAACATTAAATGAATCTTATTTTCACAAAAATATCTATCTATCTCTCTCTATACAAAAGGGAATAAAATTTACAATAGTGCAAAGCAATTAACTACTGCACTTCATTAACTAAAAATAATTTTCTGTAGCCTCCCATAGCTGACTTTTTTCTACATTCTACAATAACCTACTGCAGTCTCAGAGCCATATCTTAGAGTTATGTGTAAACCAGTGATGGAATTAAAATAATTTACATTAGTGTGGTAGAACATCTGCATAATATTTATGCAAGCTGACTGCTACAATTAAATTAGAATATTTATCCAGGCATTTTATTGCTTTGTCATTAGTATAGCTAATGCACTCAGAATTGGTTGTTAAATTGTTTGAATTTCTTTAATGATAAAAAAAGAGTTAATGAAAATTCTAAAATATCAGGTTTACTTAAAAAAAAAAAAAAAAAAAAAAAAAAAGAGAGAGAGAGAGACACTTTAACACATAATTATACCATTAAATAGGATATATTTATGCAATAATAAAATAAATGCTAATGTGTAAAGAAATTAATGTAATATGAAAGTAATTTTCTATAAATCCATGAGACTAGATCATTCAGCACAGTTTTTACTGTTATGAGTACTTCTTGAGTATTGCTATAGAAGAAATATTTCCTCCTGAATCATCCCATGCATTTTCTGCATTAATAATAGAAAAATAAAAGAATAATTAAAAGAACTTGCATTACTAAAAAAATATAACACAAAAGCAAAATTTCAGATTCCAAAACAGCAAGATGTAGTTTTTAAAATTGTGAAACTAAGTACAACAAAGAAATTCAAATCAGGCAGATGCTAGCTTTGAATTTGTTAACTGGGAAAAAATATTACTTCAAGTTATAAGTTAAAAAACTAATGTTGTATTGTATTTTAAAATTAATTATCTTAATTAAAACAAAAATAATATAAATGTGAAAAACATTAACATATAATTTACAAATTAAGGAACACAAATATTTACTATGCATGAAATAAAAAGTTATTAAAAATTTTTATTTTGAAATAAGAGACTCATGACCAAACATCTGTGAATTTACCTATATTAATAAGTTATGTACTAAAATTACAAATAAATTCAAAGTGTTCAGACTTTCTTTGGCAATAAAATAAGTATCAGAGTAAATTGACCTTACAATACTTAAAATTCTGCTGACTTTCTGGATCATAAAAATTACCTTTATGAATAAAATTTTGCTGTTTGACCATACTAACTAGCAAAATTTTTTGTTCATGAATGAATTTTACCTTATTACCTTTTATTACTATTTATACAACAAATAATTATATGCATAACTAGATGCATAGTAAAAGCTGTGAAAATTCCATATCACTGACCATGTAAAAAGTGAAATTTGTGGTAGGAAAGCCAGATGCATGAAAAGAAATTTCTGATTAAAATTCTAAAGAGTTACCTGATTTCTTATCAACTTGAATCTTAAAAGGCAACCTTTAAAACTACGAAAGTCTTTTTTTAAGGGAGAGAGGAGGATCATTTCAGACATAAAAGCCGATGCATTTCCCTGTGCTTTAAATACATCAAATATCTTAGCCAATTATGAGAATTTCTTAAATAAATGTAAGACATTTTCTCAAAAGGCACTTAATAGAAATCAAAAGTATTGTTATTTTATACATACATACAGATTTAAAAATAAACAGAGTGCTTAAATCTTTGATACATTAACACTGCTTTGATGGATTTGACATTCAACTAAATAAATTATGAATGTCAGTCTAAATATGGATTCCTGGAACCTCAATATGGTGGAAGGTGCAATCAATACATTCTGTAAGAAATCAGTGTAATTTTACTCATTATACACTTTTAAATATTATATAAGTAAGGCTCTGAGTAGTCCTATATATGGCACATCATGGCTTTGCAAGCCTATCATTTGCTTGATTTTTTTCTTTCACAAAAAGGGATGTTTTTAAAGTTTTAAAATATTCTGATGACTTGAGCTTTCCAGTTAACCGGATGATGTATAGTCAGGCTTTTATTGTTATTCATAAACCACTTAAGAATGAGGAATACTACCTAGAGTCTGTAAAACGACAGCACAGTTTCTCAACAAGACCTTCAACAAGTTTTTCTTTCTCAATATACTGTAATATATGCCTAGAAATAATAAAAATATCCAATGAAAATAATACAGTAATTATACCATCTTTTGTCATGCACTTTTAACCATAAAAGGTATTTAAAATTTCATCAATACATTACAAAATTCTTACTTCATAACAATCTGAAAGCTCTCTTCACTAAAACCAGATTTGGGATCACTTAATGAGCTTATGATATCAGGAATTATGTTATAGATGACATTTCCCTAAATAATAATATAAAATATCATGAAACCTAAGCACATAGAAAACAGTACTATGAAAAGATTTTAGGCAAAAATAATTTTCATACCTTCTTTGACAACTCTTCAAATAAATACATAGCCACAGAAGAAACGCCTGCATCTGAATCAGCTATACATTTAGCTGCTTCACTTATAAGACTTTTAACACGAACAAAATCATAAAGAATGAGATGAGTGAGAGTGATGATAGCCGCTTCCCTTACACATGATTCAGGGTCTCTTAATCTAAGTGAAAACAAATAAGCACAATGAATTTTTAGTACATACATATTAACATAATCACCTTAGTCGAAGTTTCCAGGTTTTCAGAATGGTTGAATGTCTGGCAATAATGCACATATGTTTTTGGCTTTAGCAAGCAATGCTGCCAATTTTGCAAGCATTCTTTTTGCTACATTCGAACCATTCTTTTAGCAAAACTGTGATACTTATCTTAATTTTAAAATATGGGCTTTTGGGATTTGCCTACAGAAGAAATCACAGCAAAACATCTGCAGAAAAACAGTATTTTGCTACACAATTGCTTAAAAAGTAGCTTTGAATATATACTTAAAGCAGCCCCCAAGAAATTTCCATGAGAACACACACAAAAAAGCAAGTAAATTTGTTAATTGATTTTTCAGTTAAATATCTAATTAATATATAAAGTTTGTATATAATATTTTTTTTTTTCACTTATAATTTTTTTCCTTAAAATTTGCCAAACTGCATCAAAGTGGTTGCACTAATATGTAAGTATTGAAGTTTTTAGAAACAGAATTTTTTTAATTCCAGGTTACGGCTATCAATAGGAAATTTCAAAATTTTAGTAAACTGCCATTTTATTTAAATACAATACATGATATTTTAAATGAATTAAACTTGCAACAAAAGAGTGTTTTTTTGATGTGTTGAGATGAGAATTGTTTAAACCAGCGTTTCTCAACCCTTTTTTTTTCGGCCCACAGATTAGTAAAATTTGTGAAAAAATTATTATTAAAAATTTATTATTTTATTAAATTTTCCCCAGTGATAAATGATATTTGGCATTAGCATTTTAGTAATGTTTTCTTCTAAAATATGCACACAGTTTATTTTCTAGCTAGGCATGTTTACACTTCAAACGTCATAACATTTTTTGTTTCACAGCATCATTTAAAAAAGCTTCAAAATGATGCAGATGGAGAGTACATCTTCATCTGTAGATTTGGGCCAGAGAATAAGTGCATGTTTTAAATATTCATGGTTATAGTGCCTGGCAAATATGTTTTTTCTTTTCTTTCTTTTTTTGATGGATACTGAAGTTTTGCTTTGCTGTCATTTTCTGAGACATTGAACTGGTATTAAAAAAAATTCAGTAGTATGCCTTGTTCACAGTACATGATATTGACAATTTTTTCTGAGTGTCTGTATAAGTATTAAAAATTATCAATAAACTTATTTGGCAAAACCTGTTAACACGGTTCACTGCCAACTATTAATACACACTTTACAATTCAACTTCAACTGAAATATTCAGTATATAAAACTAGCATCTGGGAAGCTCAACATTGTAAATGCATTGGCTTTAAAATGTACGGAAGCAAAGTGTTCTGAAAGGAAGATACTTCTGAATGTTCTCCGGAATGTTTGCCACATTTCGTGACTGCACATGGGTACAATTTACTTTTCTGCATAGTAGAATTATTGCAACCCTTTCTCTGCTGATCAGCATTCCATTCAAGTGAAAGTATATATACATAAAAGAGCAAGTCACAACCAGTGACAAATGTCAGTATACTCCAGTGTTGTCAACTTTCAACGACAAAATTATGGGTTCTAGATTCTAAGATTATGGCATTAACATAAATATATCAAATAAAATTTTATTATTTTCTAAATAAGAAAATATTTCTAATACAAACAGGTAAAAAATCTCCAAGGACTAGTCAAATTTTTTCTGCAAACGAGTTCTAGTCTGCTGGATCTGCAGTTGAGAATTCCTGGTTTAAAGCATTCTTTCATTTTAGGAAATAATAAGAATTATGCTGTTACTACTTTCTTTTCATCAGTTAGCTATAAAGCTGCACACATTTTTCAGAAACTCAACTTTTGTGTCATTTATTCTACTGCCAATAAAATCTGCAATTCCAAACTTAAAGACCCATTCTGGATTTGAACTTCTGAGGTATATACAGGTTTCCTTACCAATGAATTTACAACAGTCAAGCTAAGACAGCTGTAAAATTTCAGGCATATGTTAAGAAAAAAGACACACAAAAATCTTCTGTTGCCCAACATGATTGCGAGAAAAACCACATTAAAATTTTTTTTTGCAGCCATAATTATTCAAAAAAGCATCTTCTGTCGACGATTTCCAGAAGCATTTCACATTTATAAAAACCTTCCAGTTCTATTTAATGATCCCAATAACAATCCATCTTTAGAAATTATTTCATGGTTATTTTCATTTTTTATTTATTGATGGCACCAACAGCTTGACTTCCTTTCTCTTATTGTTATTGTCTAAACAGACTCTTCTCTTTGTCATTTGCACTTCTGCAGTTAAAGAAGTTTGTTTCTATACTTAAATCTTTGAAACCTTGTTCTACAAGTTTATGAATATTACGATGATTTCTGTTGCCTTAGCACCTTCAATAATTGTTATCCAACATGTTATTTTAATTCAGACACTTTTTTTTTATCAAATATATCTGTAGAATTAGCATAAATATATACATATGCATAGTTTTATATAAAATTTCTTTTTGTTTTTACAATACATTAAATAAAGTTTACAAAATCACTTAACATAGATATACAGTTTGATAATCTGATTACTGCTGAAGTCTCAGTCATGCTAGACTATCAAGCTTTCACTGCATTTTCATTGACTGTAAAAGTGGAAATAGTCATTACCAACATAATATTTTATACTGCATTAGTAATAACACATTTTATTTACAAACCTTTGATATATCTGTGATGTCCATGGTTCAACAATATTTGGATAAGACGTACACAGATCCCCCATAGCAATGACCATATTAGCTCTAACATAAGATTCTGGTGATTTTTCTGTAATTGTAGCAAACAGCTGCATGTTTTCTTGACATACTTGTTCACTAAAATGAAGAACAGAAAAAGTTAATGATAGCTAATAAAAGTAAACCCATACTTACATGGTATAGTTCTGATAAATTTTATGACAAATGCTATATTGTAATTAAAGCATTCTTTTTACAATTTATCATAGTTAACTGATTTATTTTAGTGGTATGTACCAAACCAAAAATAACTACAGAAATGGAAAATAACTAAAATATGTGCCAGATTATTCAAATTTAATTAAAAAAATTGCCTGACAACATGTTTTAATACTCTAGTTTTACAAATTGTTAACAGATTAAAACATGTAGTTGTTTATTATAAATCCTCACTTAATCTGTTTTAAAAGAGATGCCTGCACGGTGAATTTTCCAAGGCAAATTGATTTGCATGCCTGTTACAGTTCTGTAAAACTAGAAAACCATATATTCAGTTGGCAGAAATAAATGCTCAATGATTTTTAATGTATAACGAACGGTTTAAACTAGGCTAAAATTATCTAATTATCTATTTCAGTTAATGCTGCAGAGATTGCGTTGTTCCTTGATCTTCTAATTGAATTCGGCTTATTATTTTTTGCAGACTGTTAGAGCAATTTTATAAAAAGTAAGCTTGAACTTTCGATTATGTCAAAAAGAGTTTCCGATCCTGGAGCTGCCAAAGCATCTACAAAGCGAAAGCATGTTTTGATGTACTGCTTCTGATAGTGAAGAAAGTGACAGAGAGGTTATTGAAAACGAAAAAATTTCGATTGACAAATTAGTCAGTATTCTCAACACAGCAATTATAGGACTTCAACAGCGGAACTTTGTAACTGAACAAGAAATTTTGTCTGTTTATAGAATTAAAGAGAAAGTATTAGCACATAAAACGAAGCAACTTAAACAACTTACATTGAAAGGTTTAATAAAGTAAACAAATAAAAATCACTGCATGCCATCTTACCAGATTTAAACTGATGATCTATAATCCGGAAATCGCCGAAGTCCCGACAAGTCCGGATTAAAGGCTTTTGACTGTATATACTTTTAATGAGGTTTATCTTTTTAATTAGCTACTGAAAATATATTAAATCAATGGTGGTCAATTAGTGGACCTTAAATTTTTTCCAGTGCTCAGGAAGAAACACAATGCGTTATATCATGTCAGTGCACCCCAACTACAATATGATAGAAAATCTAGTTTGCTCAGCTGTAATATAAGTGGCATAAAATTAACTGTTGCTTTGGTTATATGCTGATTTACTGGATATGCACATATAGCATGTATGAAAAGAAAAAATTTCATCTTTTTGCTAGTTGACATATTCTTGTAGTGTAAAAAACAACTTTTCGAAAGAAATTCCCCCCCCCCAGAAAAGTCTTTATACTATTGCTTTTCTTTACCTGACTTTTATGGGAATACTGAAAAGTAAATGATTACTTGTAAATAAAAACTAAACCATTGATCAAAAGGCAAACATTTTATTAACATTCTTGTTAGCAGTGGGAAATATTTATTAACCACTTTTGATTTTTTTCCCCTGAATTCGATCCAAAAAAATTTCATATTTTTTTGTTCATTTTACAGTTGTAAATACGAAAATGCTATTAAAATTAAAAATTGTAATATTTTGAAGCATTTAGAACAACATTTTTACAGCAAATAAAATAATATTTTCTCTGAAAGTTGTCTTCAACCCCACATGACTGCCTAACAGAGAAGTTACATTTATGGTTGCATAGACAAAAAATACAATTATATTTACTCACCCCCCCAAAAAAGATCTGATTTATTGTGATATATCTCAAAAACAAGGTGAGCGACACAGTCCAGAAAAAATAATAAGTCTTTTTTCTAATTCATTTGCTGTTGATATTTTTCTTCGGTTGAAGACGCATAACACCATCTTAGTTCCCTCCCCTCCCCATAGGTAAAATTACCTCTTCAAAAAGTCTTTCTGATACACTTAATACAGCTGGTAAACATCCAGGAAGGCTTTTTCTTAATCTTCTACTGTTGCATACCCTTCAATCAGTCAAATGATAAAATCCAATCAAGACTAAACTTGAATCTTTATTGCAATGTTTTTTATACTGGTATCAACATCATCTAAAGCAATGGTCTCCAACGTGGGGTATGCAAAGTGAAACTTAAGGATATGCCAAAGAAACAGGCACGTGACTGAATGCTTGCGAGTGTATAATCATGTATCAGACAAGCACTAGATTCTTTCATTGGTCACTGTGTCTGAGAAACTCAACAATATAACTATGACTTAACAGAGCATACATATTACATTACATTACATTGCATTATATTATATGGGGTACAATTTATAATTATTTTTGTCTTAGAGGTATGTGATCAAAATAGTTTGGAGATCGCTGATCTACAGAATATTCACTACTCCCAGACTCGTTTACAGATATTTCACAGTCTTCCAAATTATAATTTATTATTAGTAATTTCAAATTACAGTTTGAATCGCAAGCTGCATACATTCTGAATCAACCATTAGTTATTAGTAAAAAACAGTTTTAATTACTTGTACATCAATAAAGTTATCTAGTGAACAGTAAAATACACGCAAAAAGATGTAGACTGAAGGGTAAATATTCACTGAGTCATGTAAAAGACATGAAACAAAAGCACACTTTCACCTAGTGGACATCTACTGCTAACCATGTGACTAGTTTGATATTAAAAATAGAAAAGATATGGGCAAAATAGTAAAGGCCTGCAGTGCCCATACAGCTTATGGGCAAAACAAGCAAGTGGTTAATAAGCGCTACTGTTTGCATTATTGTTAAATATGGTTTTAATTTGAAAGATTTAAAGATGGCACACAACTAGCAATGAAATAATGACTTCTAATACCATCATTTCAAATTTTCTTTTTTCTGCTACTAAAAAAGCTGTCATGATCATTATCAATTAAGTATTTTACATTGAGAGAGCAGATATATATACATAGGCTTATCATAACATTTTTTGTTTAAACCGGGACAGTTTTGAAATATGACTCACCACAAAAAGTGAAACTACTAGGGTAAAAGATCTGAAGACTTTCAGATTTTAAATTATGCTGAAAGGAACTTTTTTTAAACCTTTTATGTGTTACCATTATTTATTAAATGTTCTTTGCACTTAAACTATAAAATTCAATTCAACAGCAATATCACAAAATTTTAAAACTAGCATATCTTTAGAATTTCCGAAACACAGTCTCCTGCACTGGAGATAAAAATGTTTTTCCCCCTCTCCTCCGCGTAGAGTTTTGCCATTGCTCGCTTTGAAATCGTCGAGTTTAATAAAAAATTTGTTAAAGTGTTATGAAACGTGAACTCGATAATAAAACAAATTCCAAATAAGGGCTTCCAGATGCCCATATTCGGGTAGAGATGTATGTTATTCAAAATTTGATGGCTCTAGGTACCATTGTTTTATCACACTGCAAGAAACATACATACATTTATGCAGATTCTTCATCATTTAATTTCTTTAAATATAACACAAGGTGATAATATTTGGTGGCAACAATTTGAAAAGTGAATCGCTGTTTATAGTGAATCGATGCAAAATGCCAAATAGAAATGAATACAGTCAAAAGTCGTTAATTCGGACACCCATAATCTGGAATGATCTATAATCCGGACCTCAAAGCTACAAACTTTCTGCGCATGCGTCAAGCGTAAGACCTTTACGGCTGCGAATTTGCGTGTGCGCAAAATATGTTTATGAATGCGCGTTTAATGTATAACGGACGGAATAAGCTAAGCTAAAATTATCTAATTATCTATTTCTGTTAATGTTGCAGATTGCGTTATTCCTTAATCTTCGAATTGGATCCGGCTTATTATTTTTTGCAGACTGTTAGAGCAATTTTATAAAAGTAAGCTTGAACTTTCGATTATGTCAAATAGAATTTCTGATTTACTAATATGCAACGGATCTAGAAAGCGAAAGAATGTTTCGGAGTCCATTAAACAAAAAGTGGAATTGCTGCAAAAAATGAATAAAGGCATATCCTTTGTTTATCTAAACTTTGTTTATTTTTAACGCTGCGGCGCGCGCAATGAATTGGAAGTTGATCTGCCAGCACTATCCTTATCTTCAGGGCAGATGTTTTTATTTTATTTGGCTTATAATTGCTTACTAAATGTAGTATTTCATTTCGATGTACTCTGTCTTTGATATGATTTAAATCAAATGCCTCGTCATTATAATTCGCTTCCGATAGCGAAGAAAGTGACAGAGGTTATTGAAAACGAAAAAATTTCGATTGACAAATTAGTCGGTATTCTTGACACAGCAATTATAGGACTTGAACAGCGGAACCTTTGTAACTGAACAAGAAATTATGCCTGTTTATAGAATTAAAGAGAATGTATTATCACATAAAAAACGAAGCAACTTAAACAACTTACATTGAAAGAAATGTTTAGTAAAGTAAACAAATAAATATTAAGCTTTTCTTTTTTGTAAATTTTGATACACTTTAGATCATAATTGTTCTTTATTTTCGTAAATTACGGTTTCACATTTTTAATTTTATAATTTCTGCATGCCATTTTACCAGATTTAAACTGATGATCTATAATCCGGAATCGCCAAAGTCCCGACGAGTCCGGATTAATGACTTTTGACTGTAGCCCTTTGGGCTAAAAAAAGAAGTTGGTGGTGGTTAAGTTAAAAGAAATTTTTAATTTCATTATTGAAAAGCTATTATTAGTATTTACCACTAGTATAAGCTTTTCATAAAAATTCTTTGCTATTTTTAATGGTATTGAAAAACTCACAGCAATATAATTCACAGTTAATTTTTCAGGTTAATAAGCTTTTAATTCAGCCATTCTTTTACTTCAGACCACATGATATTCATTATTGAAAATACTCTTTTGGCTAGAGCTGATATGTCCGACTTATTGAAAATGTATTAAATTATTTGAACCAGACTGTGCAATAAAATATTTTTTCTATGAAATGACTGAAAGCATGCATCCATTTTTCTTCAGAACTTTTATATTTCTAAATT